GGCACATTTTCTACTTGTTATTCTAGCAACAATGCACAGATGATACTTCTCTTTTAGAATAAGGTTCAGCTCCAGTAAACGGGATCTGCATTCAGTTCTGCCAGAAAGGAGAAAATGTCACAAAAGATGTAGTGGTTTCTAATAGACATTTTTGTCCCCGGGTAGCATGGCAGCTATGGTGCCATCTGACTAAAAATGTAATGAATATGGGTACATAGAGGTCAGAACCCATTAATAACAACGCGCAGAACTGACACCTATTGTCAGCTATCGTCAATACAGATTTTATACTTGCTTTTCAGAAAACAGCTCTTTTTTTTCAGCATGCAGGGATCTCCTTTCTGCCTCCTGAGCATGTAGCATCATGGTGCCCATAAAAGAACAGTGCTTGTATGATAATGCATTGTTTCTCACCTCTCAAAAAGGGTTTCCAGCATACAGGGTACAGCACTAATCTCCGGGGAATGCTGATGAGATGGATGTCAACACTAGAATACAGAGGAGGGCTTGCATTAAAGCACCGGATGGAGCTTGGAGGAGCGGCGTTTGATGCCAAGTCCCTGTCTGACCTTGAGCCTCTCCCTTCCAGCACCTCAGTTCTGCATATGCAACTCCCAGGGGTGCTGTAAGGATAAATTCAGTAGCATCAGGGAGGCACTCACTCATCATAGTGATGGGACCCACATAAGTAGGTAGAGAGTGAGACTAACACCGAAGAGCTGAATTGTTAATCTTACACTACGCAGTTCCCTTCTGAGGGTGGTTATCAAGGAGAAATACCTTCAAGGAAGCACCAGGAGCACTTGTTTGTGTTCAAGAACTGAGCATCCAGGGATACAGCACATAAAGTAATGTGCATGGAAGGTTGAATGGGGGTGAGGCGAGCCTCGCCTTGTCAGAACAGGTCCTCCTGCTGTTGCAGGGGCTGCCTCCTTGCTCCCCCTACCCCGCTGTTATCCTCGCCTGGATTCTGGGGAACAGCCGAGCGAGGGAACAAGGATGCAGTATGTCCTGTCAATACTCTGAGTACCTAGCTCACTTGTCAGCCTATACCTTGGCACTTCACTGGAGCGCCCAGTCCCATGTAGGATGGAGATAGAAGCAAGATGAGCCATTGTTCAGAAAACCCTAGACAACACTGCTGCCATTCCTAAGCACACAGAATTAGAGGGGATATCGTTTGATGGCACCTGGTTGACAGAGTACATTTCCTACAGTGTGATGACCACATCATAGATGGATTTTTATTTTTATATTCTATTAATGCAACTCTGAGTAACCAGCAGAGCTAGAGGGGGAAAACTTTCCATAGGTAAACTTCAGAGCCACTGCTTTCCACTCTGGGTCATCATTTCTGGTAATAGCCAAATGTCTTAAGCTGAGCATTTAAATTGATATTGGACCATTCTTTCTGCACCCCTTCTGAGGGAAACCATGATTAGTGTACATCCAGAAATTGCCTGAGAATGAGCCCATTTTGGCGCATATGTCCAGCCACAGCTGATTTATCTGCACAATCACATTTTTCATTAATCTTCATTTTAAAAGCATCTCTCTCCTTTATGGACAGGAGGTCACATTCACAAGGAACACTGTATGTTCTCATCTTACCAGTTGTTAAAGGATGTTGCTAAAGGGTGGCAAAGGATATTTTGAAAGATATGCAGCAGTGGAAAGCAGCCTTAGTTTGTGTGGGTCTGTATAGCAAGAAAGGCAGCGATGTGTGATCTCTGGACCAGACTGAGATAGATCAATGGGACTGTCTGAGTAACTGCTCACCAATGGCACTAAACTGATTCTTTATGAATATGCTAATGGATCTATTTACAACCTTCCAGTACTCATCACTGCAGCATCTACTAGGCACCAGTACCAACATCTGCCTTATAATGATGTAGTGGCCAAGTCCACTCAACCTTGAAAGAGATGCCATTTCATGAGACCCGCACCCTGGTGGAACTGTTTACTACAAGGCAAATCCCTAAACAGCTCCCATTACAGAATGCTGTAGTTCATTATCTGGTCTCCTGGGCTCCTTAAGTAATATCCTCTAATTGGTATTATTTGGCACTGCTCCACAGTGTTAAACTGATTTGTGGCCCACTGGGACAGTGGCTGTTTATAGCTGGTGCTGCAAAGAGAGGTTCAAGGTAAATGGTTGCCTTTCCCCAAGTAACAGAGGAGCCTTCACTCTGTGTGGGCAATTCTCTGGGGCTTCCCACAAGGACTGGGGTATTTTTTCTTGACATCTTGACTGGCAGGACCATGCTCTTACAGACTTTCACTTATGAGCCCCTGCTGTAGACAGGCATTGACCTTTCATGCCGCTCTTTTCTTTCACTCGTGGAAACCTCCTCCTTGCACATGATTTGGCAGAGTCAGAGTAGTGAGCAGCAGGTCTCTGCCAGTACCTCCCCTACATTAAAAACTGCAAAGTGAAACAGGCCAAATCAGTGCAGAGTGTGCAGTCACTGAGTGAGCCATGTCCTTCCCTGGTGTTTCAACATTTCCTCTGCAGAGAGGCCAGAGACAAAAATAATTAGGTGTCATTTGCAACGTTTTCACCTCTCTGTTGGCCTCTTTTTCCTGATCAATGAAAAACGTTATCAATAGTGGACTTCCAGGGCACCCAGCTATTAACCTTCCCTATGAAAAATGCATGTTTTTTTTATAAATCTGTTTTTTCAGTCAACCAGTTTCTTACCTGGGACAAAATATTACCTCTCAACCCAATCACTCCCTAGTTCCCTGAACAGACTCATGCCAAAGACTCTAAGACAGTGGTCTCTAACCTTTTTATGGTAAAGATCACTTTTTGAAGTAAAGGGCAATCCAGGATCTACCGTACAGCAGGGCTTGGGGCTCAAAGCCCAGCATGCAGTGGCAGCCACTTTGCCCTGCACACAGATCAGGGGGGGCACATGCCCCAGGCCTCCGCTGGGGTATGTGCAGTGGCAGGAGCCCCACCCTGCACCTAGACAAGCTGTCCTGAGCTCTGACCCTCCTCCAGCCCAGCCCAGCCCAGCCCGGGCCCCACTCTCTCAGTGGCAGGGAGTAGGCCTGTGCAAAGCCTCCCCCAGACTGAGGCTAGCCTCTCCAGACTGAGATCGACTGTCAGGGGCTCCCCAATTGACTGGTTGATCGAGATTGACTGGTTGGTGACCACCGCTCTAAGAAATGCTGCTAGCTCTAATAAATCATCCCTACTACTGCCTTCTCCTTGAGCCAAGATATTGCCTCCCACAAAGAGTTCTTACAGGCTGGATCAGCATGAGTTTCCTCTGCAGAAGCTGGGCTGGTTCACTGTGATCATGTTACACTCATCTCGGGGTTTTAAAAACATCATGAATTATTTTTCATTAATTTACCTAAAGCCAGGCTTACAGATCTGACATTTTTTAGATGAAGAACTGCAGGGAACTGGCTAAACTCAAGATGGCTGCTAGAAGAGCCCATTTAAATGATATGGGTCCAGTTCTTTGCTTTGCCACGATGTTACTGTAACATCTGATGTCAGATAGTCTGATGTCAGAGTTCAGGGTCAGCTCTGCAAAAAGGTGGTGCTGTTCCTGGCCCTGAAGGAGACTTGAATTTATGGGAGTTTCTTGAAGACTCCCTCTGCCATGTCCTGGATCACAGACCTCCCAATGGACCATGTGCCACGTTATTCCCAGCACACACTACAACAGGGCCAGTGACAGAGATGGCTCAGGTTTATACTAGTTTGTTCACCAGAGGGATCCTTTCCTGGCCCTCTGAGGCATGTTGATAGCCCCTATACAATGCCAGTGCAGCACGCAAGGGCTGTGTACAGAGAGAATCATTCCTCATGCTTTGCAAGCACCCAATCCACTTCAATAAGTTCTTTCAGAGCTCCTGGATGATCCATCTAATCCTGGCTGGGATTCAAACCATCAATTTTTTGCATCACTTCAAGCCCTGGTGTTGCTGCCTCAGAGTTGCCTACAAAGAGGAGCTTGGGGGTTAGACATGCTCAGGCTTTTGCTGTGGTGAAGCCTGAGGCAAAAATACCCTTATTCTTTCCTTGCTAACTCAGCAATCCAAACTCCCCCTAAATACCATTCCAGAGTTTCCTAGAGCTTTCTGGGCTACCCACACATGTCCGTTCTAGAGTTTCCTTTCCTTGTCTAATCCTTCCATCCTTAGTCATGCTCCTTCAAACCAGGCAAAGCTCCTCTTCTGCCTAATATGCTTTAAGGGCATTTGTAGATGACACATTAAAGCAGTTTAAATGCCCTTTTGCACTGCTTTAATGGCATTGCTGTTTTCATGAGTTTGTATATTTGGCAGTGTATTGCACATTAATTCCAGCCACTGTAGCAAATCCGGTGGCATAATGCGCCTTAAATGACTTTGGGGTGCAGCAAACTAAAACACCTCGGAGGAGTTGTAGTTTGCTACCCTACAGCTGTGGAGGGAATCACCGGGCACTGTGTGGCTTAGGGGCTCTGCAGGCAGCCCAGCAGCAGCCCGGGAAGGCAGGCTGCACTGAAGGAAAAAAAAAAAGTGGTGAGCCTGATCTTTTTTTTCCCCCTGTCCCGGAGCCTGCCAGCCTGCCTGAGCAGCATGGGGCCTGGTGCTTCCCCCTGCAGCTGCGGTGCCCCCTGCGACTACCTGAGCCAGATGTCTGCAGGCAGATGCTGCCTAGGGAGGAGGCCACTGCTGCTGCAGAGGGAAGCACCGCCCCCCACCGCCGCCCCCGCAGCTCACTGGTCTGCTCGGCCTGCCGGCAGCTCGTCCTCCCCTCCCCTCCGCTTCAATTTAGGGAGAATTAAACCCCTGTGTCGTTTACAAATGCCCTAGGATACTCAGAAAAAATCACGTTGTCCCACGACACCCACTACCAATGGACTCTGCAGTGGTATAAGCAGTGCACTCACATGACTGCTTTTACTTATGGCATTTTACAGGGTGGTTTCGGTCCTTCAGGTTTTGTTTCTTGTCACGGTCGGTGAGGGGCAAGTAGCAATCTGGGGGATTCATTTGGTTAACAATTACCTGCAAGCACAGAGGCCTGGACACAATGGCCCAGGAGACCTTGCCAGTTCTATGTTCTTATGAAGAATTTGCTTCCATCATTGTGGGTATAGCTAACACTGCCTTACAGGCACCGCAGAGAGCTGTACCCACCAGTGAGACTTTTATTGATAAGGACTGGAATGTCATGAAGATCCAAGCATTTATACAAATACAGACAATACTGATTTGAAAACAGAATTTGCAGAACATTTTGATTCCTCCAAGCAAGAGAAGCGCTCCAAAGGCCATGTACTGAGAAGGCTTGGGTGGAGAGATTCTTCTTCTCTTCCTCTGAAGTTTTCAAGGATGTGGGATCACGGAAGAGATGGTGCAGGAAGTACTTTTCCTGAACATTGGCCAAATCCCACTCGGTAACCATTCCCCTGGCAGTAACCTAGAACAGGGAGAGGACAAGCATCACAAGGTGGGCTTCAGGGCCCTACTAGAAAGAAAAATAATGAATATGAAGTGCAATGCAAAGGTGGAGGGACTGAAGTAAGTGGAAACACTCTGAAGTAGGGTTCTCTTCTCAGATATCCTTCATGGGCCTGCTACAAATCCAATTGGCCCAGAGCTATCCGTTGACTTCAGTGGGCTTTGCATCAAGCCCAAGACATGCTGGCCACATCTACTGAAGAGGCTTACTGTGCAATAGCTTGTTACTACTGTGCAGTAGCTTGTTAGTACTGTGCAGTAGCATTGTGGGGCATAAACCATGATGTGACGCTACTGCGTAGTAGTAACAAGATACTGCGTAGTAGTAACGAGTTAGGGTTATCTGGAAGCCATGCAGAGATGCTACTGCACAGTAACGCTGGTTACTGCACAGTCAGCATTTCATGAAGACACGGCCACTCTGCACAACTGAGGGGAGTGAGCTCGGTGCAATACTAAGGAGGAAACATGGCTCTCACTTAAATGGGGAAAAGGAGGCAGGGAAGCTCTTATCTATTCAACTCACTGAGCACCAGTGTATCCCGCTGGAGCTCCAGAAAAGAATCAGTTTCAGTCCCAGATTCCTGATGTGTGCTTCCAGTAATCTAGAACACCTACTCCTCCCTTGGGGTAACACAGAAAATGAGCAGTTTAAATACCCAGAGACCCGATCTTGTTCATCCCCTGTGCTTGTTCATGAGCTTGCAACTAGTAGTTCCAAAGGTAGGCTAAAAACTCTATCTATTTGCATGTCTACATGTATGTGTTAGTGCAGAATGGGGTACAGCCCCGACACCTATATACATACAAATATGACTGGAGAACATGATGCAACATGTTGAATGGCAAACACATTTGCATTATGTGTTTAATGAACAACCCAGAAATTTGTCTGAACCAGAACTAGACCTGAGTCATAAAGCTTGACTTGAGATCCAAACCTATTAGGTTTAACATGCCCTGAATGTTGGGTCAGCCTGTTAGGGAGACAGAGAAAGGAGGCAAACTAGTTAGCTGGGTTTGAATTTCCTG